CCGTTTCTAATGTTTTCATTACTACCCTTAAATGATCTGAGAATCTCAATACTCTGTTCTTTATTCAATGAGTTGCGAACAGCTATATGAAAGTTACATTTTTAAACATTTGTTGTTATAATAGCAATCCATGTCATTATACTATTACATCAGTAAAATTAGATATATGGACTGTTTACCTGTGCATAGTGTTTAAAAACAGGAAGACTGCTTTTCAAATGATGCCTGATGACTGCATGATCTACTAGAAGGTACTGTGTTCTTTAAATGATTATGGTTTTGCATTATTAGTTTATGACATATTATGCAGCTTGTGAATGTGTAACTGTGACCTTAAATATGTTGCTTATACACCATTCCATACAGGGTGTTCATTTTAAAACTTTAGGCGATGTTTAAATTCCTGACATTTCCAAAAACATGTTGTGGGATATCATGGCAGCTTTCGATGATGCGTTGACGAAGGTCATCCAAACTTTTAGTTTGGAGAGTAAACACAATAGATTTCAAATGGCCCCATAGAAAAAAGTCTAATGGCGTCAAATCAGGAGATCAACCAGGCCATTCTATAGGCCTTCTTCGTCCTATCCATTTATCTGGAAAGTCGTCGTCTAGCCATTGCCGAACCGGAAGAACATAGTGAGGAGGAGCGCCGTCTTGCTTGAAATAAATTTCAGCCTCATCAAGTATAAGGTTTCCATCCTCTTCGATGTGGTTTTCAATGGTTTCAGTGATATGCGGATTGCTGGTATTTTCCAACATATCCTCGGATGTCTGGCATTAAACGTGATGGCAGTTTGCCGAGTACAATGATTTTTGGCATCATAAATAAGAATCATTTCCACTCTTTCGTCTAGTGTGTAAACCATTTTGGAAGTCAAATCTGAATCAATAAATTTATTTTCACTATCCCAAGATTGTCACAAAGATAACTGATAGCAAATTCAATTCTTTCTTTCGCTTAGCAACAAATAACTCATGTATAACAATAAATACAGTTCGTCTAGGATATCTGTGTTGATGAGAAGAATGCAGAAAAAAATTCGTTCGTTGTTATATGGCTGTTGCCACGTCTAATCTTCCGAATTGCTGATTATGTTGGTAGTTTCCGTTTTAAATTATAAATGAATTGTAGATTTGGAAAACACTGACAGGCAACATTTTGAACACTTATTAAAACAAAAACTGACAATTTCGTGGGTTTTTATTTTCTATCTGAACCAATTAAGATAAATAAGGATTTTTCTAATTTTCTCGAAAACGAATCGACCGATTTTGAAAATTGAAACGTCAAAATAAAGGATTTGGAAACACCTTTCAGACAAGTCATTACTCCATACCCCTTGTCATTAAAAAAATTTAAGGGAATGACCCTGGTGTGCCGACGGTGAAATAGTTTTTGGTCATAGTTGTCTGCCTTGACAAATCTTTTGACACGAACATAATTCTATTATATATATATATATATACAGGGTGCGGCAGAGAGGATGGACGGTTTTAAAAAAATCATAAAATAGGTAATTTTTAGTCGAACAAAAATTTATTGATGGAATCAGATTCACAAGGAAATAGCATTTCAGACAGTCAAGTGTGGAAAATCACATCAGGTATGTAATGGCCGAAATCGTTGATGCAGTGCTGGAGGCGTTCTTGGAAGTTCGCGTAGACTCTCTCCAACATTGCTCTCTCAACTTGGGTGACTTCCACCGAATTTCGCCCTTCAATTCGTCCAGAGTTCGGGGCTTTTTCGCGTATACTCTAGCCTTGAGGTGTCTCCATAAGAAAAAATCGCATATGGATAAATCTGGGGACCGAGGAGGCCAATGAACATCGCCAAACCTGGAAATAAGGCGACCAGGGAAGAGAGGGCGAATAACGTCCATGGATGCTCGGGCTGTGTGGGCGGTCGCCCCATCCTGCTGGAACCACACACGTCGGATTGGAACACGTCGCCGTCGTAATTCAGATAGAATAGAAAGAAGTTGGTGATCATGTCGACGTAGCGCTCTGAGTTCGCGGTAACATCAAGACCATTACCGTCTTCGAAGAAGTAAGGGCCAATGATGAAAGTTTGCGATACAGCGCACCAAACCGTTACTTTTGGGCTGTGCAGCGGTCTTTCGTGTAACTGTTGCGGATTTTCATTAGCCCAATAACGACAATTCTGCTGGTTAACCATGCTGTTTAGGTGAAAGTGGGCTTCGTCACTCATGAACAAAATGAGGTTCTCATTTTGATCGATCAGTGCTTCCATCTCACGTGCGAAGTTGATTCGTTGTGCATAATCTCCGGGCTGTAACTGCTGCACAATGGCCAATTTGTAGGGGTGAAAGCGGAGATCCATATGCAAAATTCGCCTTACCGAACGATCACTAAGGCGAAGTGCAGCAGCATGTTTCCGGGCTGATCGAGTCGGACTGCGAAGAAAGACCTGTCGAACGCGTTCAGCATTTTCAGCTCTATTCCGATGAATGTTGAGCTCTTAAGTCACCTGATTCACGAGCCCTTTGTACTACATTAACAAAGACACGAGGGGTTGGTTGCACTCGATTGGGAAACCGATCCGCATAAATGCGTGATGCCGCGGCAGCATTTTGTAAAGACTCCCCTCCCGTAAATAAGAATCATGTCCACAGCTTTTACGTAAACATGTGCCATTTTTTATTTCGTTTGAGCCACGCAACAAACACAACTATTCACTCACGCGTTACCGACTGACACATTGACTGACTACAACTGAATAAAATTGTAGTAAAAACATCGTGATAAGCGTTTCAAATTCTTTAGCTTTTTTGTTTCCGATGCGATGAACCGATAAGGCGGATTATATCCGTTGTTGCCAAACACGAGCACATAATATTATTATTGAGACAGGACGGTACACAAACTTCTAAAGGGCTATAACTTTGTTACTTTAATTTTACCAGAAAAATGTTAAAGGAGAAAAACATTTCTTTTGATCAGATCTACTCACTGTTAAAATAAATGACTCAACTTCGAAGTATATATATTATTCTGATGCATGTTTCTTGAATGTACTACAGAAATGTCATTGCACAACTTGTTTCCATAATGAAGCTGAGACTAGTATTTGTGGCAGTAATTTTATACAGTAAAATACACAGGCGGCAACAGCTTGCAAAACAATTACCATTTGAAATTACGGGTATTAACAAACACGTCACGCGAACAAAGAATTTAGGTATCGCTGCTAAGGTAATTGCAAATCGTGATTTTGGGTAGTTATGCCTAAACTATTTCGTAATTTAGCTCACGTTTGCAATTGACATGCTAAGCATTATAATATAAGCCATTATTAGAGTTTCCAAAACAGGAGGAGTATGTATTATTAACGATTTCAATAAATGACGTGTCTCAGATCAGCCTTAGTTTTTGCTATATGATATGACCATATTCTGTACACATTAGTTTCCACAGCAGTCAAACTACACATAAAGTATCAAATTAAATATTGGTTTACGAATTGGCGCTTCCGTTTGCCTCAATCTTTCACAATCGTTTAACTTTACAGTATAGGTGAATGTGCATGCTATACAATAAATGACACATTCACCAATTTTTGAAATCTGGTTTTGCCTGTAACACCGTTAGCTCTTAATCGTTTTTCTTGCCTTGGACCATCAGATGTCTTAGTCTGTATTACATATTTTATTATTTTTTTTGTCGGCGCCCCTTGGTGAATCACTCATATTGATTTGTTATCCCTTTTTTTGTGAGCAATCTATTCTAAAACCGGCTACGTGAGTTTTAAGGGCGATAGTTTTTATCGTGTGATAAAGGTACATGTTACCTGAAGCTCTTTCAGGTGTTATCGGTTATTCTCTCTCCCGAAGCCTAATAAAGATCATATTTCTCGGCGCGTTGCATCGTGTGGGTTCGTATACTTGTTTCAGGCAAGAGTGGTGGCGTAGTTGTAGACGTTATGGGTCTCCTAATCAGCCGCCGTGCGCTGCGCGGGTTCGAATCCCGTCCCAAGAGAGTTTTTCACTTGGCTATGAATGTTGTCATTGTTTGTAGCTGGTAGACGGTATATGACTGTTGAACGCGAAGGTACCACCCAGCGGATTCCTAAGTATCCCCTCGCCAGAGTCCGTGTGGCGTTACCCAACCCGGACCCTTTCCCATTTATCCCCCATATTACCCATAGGCCTTAGGCCTTCGTTTTGGTACAAAAATAAAAAATAAAAGAATCGTAAACTAAATAAATTGTCGGGGAGGTTCTAACAGTTGCAACCACACATATGTCTTGATTTATGGCTTGAGAACCTCCGTGTGAGAATGTCGATTTTCTGAAACGTGTAGTGAACTGAAGTTCTCTTTATCTTGAATTGTTCCAAGATGACTTGACCCGTTAAAAAATCAATTGGGAAAGTCGGATGGCTTGAAAGGCTCTGTATATCACCAGCTTAAGAGGAAACGTAAAACCATTACTTAGCTTCAAGTTTCAAGCTATGCCACGTGTCAGCACAGCTTCTATAACGACATGCATCAGGGCGTGAATTTTTAATGACATTCTGGAGACAAGAGCAGCTCGAGGTATTTATTTCGCGGTACGCCAATTTTCATTCTCTGCCACGTTGCAGCGCGTTATGAATAGAAATTTCCATGTGTCAATAATACTGTATTCATATGATGAAGGGCAAAGTAGATAGTCTTTTTTGCTGTTAGCTCGATACACAGTAGTGAATGAAGTCAAGTTGCAGTCATATGAAATTCTTTTCCTTCGATATTTCTAAGGCATTTTCTTTCCTTCCATTTCAAAGTCGAGGTATTAGTTGCATTCCTTTTGAAAGTGAAATAATACTTATGAGGTTTTTGCAATAACCAATTCAGTTCAGTAGATTGTTGGATATTCCACAGCTCCGTACCTTACAATGAATGTCCTAGAAGCTCTGACTATTCAAAGCACAAAAGGTTGGGATACACCCATGTTAGAAATTGCGCACCAGACAAGGATTTTATCAGCAAATTTCGCTTTATGTTTGTGTCTAACTTTCAGGGCATTCCTCTACGTTGTCCGCATAAAATCCGCCGTTTCCCTTCATTCTAGAATTAGAGAAAGTCTTTTCGTCATTTAAAATGATGATTTTTCCATTGGCAAATTGTTGGCAAGTAGAGAGTATTCGCGGCACTTAAGTCTTTTTCGTTATTTAACCCTTAAGTACCATGGCGGGGTCAAATTTGACGTTTTGTATGCTAAGTTTCGCTACCTACCGAAATACGAGTATTTATGGCGCGCTGCGACCGGTAGGTGATTTATCGATCCACAAAAATTCCATTGATTTATCTGTTACCACTGCAGAGTTAGGCACATGTAGGGTCAAATTTGACCCGTTTATGGTATAAGTGTTTCTAGTGCGAGTAGCGAGTAATTTGAAATGGCGGGGTGTAGTGGCAATACACGCGCTCTGACACAGAAAAAACTTGAAGCGGAGGCGCAACAAATTATTTCTAAACACTTTAGGTCAAGAACTTATTAAGGACCATTTGACTCGTGGAGCTCAGCACGTCTACCGAGAGAACTTCCTAGTGTCATTTTTAAAATTTCCGGACTTCAGGAACCACTGGCGGGGAAGGTGTAAAATATGGCCATATTCTAAAAATCAAAAGAAAGCTCATCGTGAGATAAATGTCGAGAGTTTATTTGCAAAAATAATGCCTGCACGAAGACGTTATGAATAAGTTGTGATGAAAAGTAAGGTCAAAAACATGCTTGTAATTTTTTTGATACGAAATCTAAATCATTTTTTTTTAAATTTTAGGTAGCAGCTAAAATTCACCACTGAATACAAGAAGGCTGAAAATTCTTATATTTTTTTTATAATTTTAAAAAATGTGCATCTTTGTTAATCTCAATGGATACTGATGTTTTTTTTAATTAGTTAGTTAGTTATAACTAACCATATTCGTTTTATTTCATATAATTGTAAAACTAGTTGAAAACAAAATGACTTGACATAAAAACAAGCTACAAAATTAGATTTTTTATGTGAAAAAAAAACAATGGGATCAAATTTTACCCTGTCATGGTATAAATGTTACTGTTTTTGGCCATGGTAGTTAAAGGTTAAGAACATGCCTCCTCAATTCCAACGATATCGTACTCTTAGAAGATCTGTATTGACAAGCCAGTTTCCTTGTTGATAGTCCAACCTGATTTTTTACTCTTCTCACCTCTGTGCAGTGAATGCACGTGGTCTTCCACTTTTTGGGAGATTCCCTTCTCGCACTCCGCTATTGTACATACTTTTTCTTATTTCTAGTTTATACGACATCTTAAAGCGAAAACTTCACAATAAATGAATGTCAACTGACAGAAAAGTAAGTGAACAAACTTTTGTTTCCATAGGCAACTTGATATTATTTTGTGTTTGTTAAAATTAAGGCCAATGCATTTTGTTCCCAAACTTTTTTATTTTTGATGTTCTTCAACTGTACTTATACACGATGCTGGTAAACGCTCATACTTTCAGAAACAACATGAAAACGGTGAAGCATAATTGTGAAACATGGTAAAACTATTGTACTAATAACCCAAAGCCAGAAAAAAATGTCTAAAAAACGTCGTCTAACTCACTTGGACTATTTAAAGAATGGATAATGATCTGATAAAAAAACTGAATGCCAAAGTAAGCAAAAAATTATATTAGGCAATATTTCCGAATATGTCACTTTCAGCAGAAATTGACGCACTAGAGATACTGTAGTAAACAAAAAAAAAAGGACTTGACAATATTCCCATAAATGCCATTTTACTCGAGTTGAAACACAACATATTATGTTACATTAGAATAAGGAAAACCATATCGTGTTGTGTTGCCCTTAGTATAACAGTATTGGAATTTGCGTTTTACCTCTTCATTTATGTGTATCAATATAATTTTTTTTTGAGTTTAGTGTTTGTATAAAAAATTAATATTGTATAATTCATATAGGCTTTTATAGCATTACATCTATGTGCAGTGTTAAATTTACTAATAAACTTTGAGATATGTCGGTTATTTCTAGAAAAGGTGTGGTCAAAATCCTATACTGCGATCTGTCTTACCATGCACTACCTTTCACTCTTAGCAGGATGATATCAATTCAATATAGATCAAAACTCCCATTCGACACTATAAACGTGGTTTCAGTGATCCGTGATTCCATTTTTTTCCAATGCTTCTTTTGACGCTAGAAACAGTTACTGCTACATATTTCTCATGCATTATGCATTTTATCGACTGCAGAACCATTATAAATTCAAGATTTATTTTACCATGAAACGAGATATGACCATATCGTTCCCAATTAAAACGATAATACCTCTATTCAATAATCACGACATCCTAGATTCCATTAAAATAACTTTTCATTATAACAGCTTTTTATCCATTTTGGTTGAAATGGGATTCGTGTTTGGAGCGGTTGTTATTGAAATCACAATTACTTGATGACACACGGATTCGGACAGTAAAGCTGTCGACATACATCATCATAAAAGTGTCATAAAACGTTTATGAATGGTTGATGACTGAATGAACGATACAAGGAAAGACATGTAGTTTTGCGGAAACTTAGATGAAAAAACAAACGGCAGTGGAGGGATGTCCGCAGAAATATAAGGAACGGTAACTCGAGCGACGTACGTTTCTGCTTATTGCCTCATCAGGCCCAAATAGATGTGCATTGACAACACTGATGTTAAAACGTATATGCCCATTACATCTGGATACGGGTGTAACCTGAAGAAAAACAAGATGAAAAGGGAAATACAACTAGAAGTCACCAACAAGAATCAGCAGGCACATTTGTGGCTCGTTAACAAGATATCAACCTACGTCGCAACGAAGGTCTGCTATAGCTACCTGCCGTGGTACTTCAAGGCCAAGAGTAAATACAAAGAACGACAAGTAGTTTTGCGGAAACAGATGAAAAAACTAACGACTATCGCAATAAATGAATAGAAATAGGGCGATTGGTAACCCGAACGATGTACGTTTCTGCAAAATTACTTGTCTTTCGTTGTATTTACTCATGAGTTTGAAGTACCACAGCCCGTAGCAATAGCTGGCCTTCGTGGTGACATTATAACGTAAACACGAGGTCTGTTAGCCGAAACCATAAATGTGCCTATTGGCTCTCTTGTTGTTGGTCGCTTCTAGTTGTATTTCCCTTTCCATACTTATTTTTTGGGCATAAGTTTCCAGTTCAGAGTTTTCGATCTACGTACATTTGGGCCTGATGAATCCAATAAGCAGAAACATAGTCGCTCGGGTTACCAATCCTTCTATTTCTGCTCTTGTTCCTTTATTACGGACACACCCACATTGTATTTTGCTTAAAGAATGATGGGAATAATCACTAACAATGCTGCAATAGCATTATTCGTAGTCACTGCAAAATTGTATACATGGTCAAAAGCATAATTGAAATTTTCGAGAATAAGAATTAGGCTCACTTACTCAAAAAGCCTGTTGCTTTTTTGGTAGCACAGTAGGTAGCAATCCAACTTACCTAGAAAAAATAGATAAATGTTGAATTAATATAAGTACTTGTAACAAGACCCAGGATATTTCTACCATGTAAGTGAAACTTGCATAACTGTTGACATCGGCTTTAAGACTTACATACGTTTCAAGCTATTGGCCTTTAAGTGCCTAGTTGTATTGATAAATCCAAATTAAGTTGTAAGACGCATAACTAAGAAGGAAAACTTAAAGTTCCCGCAACTACTCGTATAAAGAAAATTCAAGCTGTTATTAGGAACTCGTTTATAGTAATAGTAATAATGATAGCCGTCTTCATTCATCTACAATTACATTGTAGTATAGCTAAATGTAAGGGTTATAAGTTTAGTAGGTTGTTACTGTTACAATTAACCATACAGCCGCTAATAGATGTTTGCAATAATAAACTATTAATAAAGAGGTGAATCTGCCTGAGGGCTTAAGTTGACGAAATACAGATAATGAAGATCCTAGACCAAGAAAACAAAATTTGTCTGACGACTTGAGTTAAATGTGCACGAGAAGTGTGTATCAACACATGCTAGCGACTGTGACGCAGAAGGTCGTGCAATCTGCCGCGTTGTCAATATGTTACACCAGAAAATATTCCCACAGGCTTCTACAATGGGTGAGGTTATTGTCAAACCCAAGAAGGAGGTCTGTTCGAACATTTAATTTAATATTTTGTTTTCATTTTCATTAGAATTATCAATTCCAATTCTGATGCGGTTTAATTTATTTTAGAATTCTCTGATTTCCACTGACCTATGATCATGGAGGTGGAGACCCTGCTTTGGAATGTACGAGATGCGGTATTGCCAAGCGAATCAATGATGCAATATTGCAGAATTTATGGCGATCCTGACCTTTCACTTCGACCTAATATGGAGCGCCGTTAGGACTGAATCGGGAATCGGTCCTAAACAGATTTGACACAATTCACAATTCAAAAATGTTTACGCTCAAAATAGTATAATTATTTAGGCGTAAAGAATAAACTAAAGAATATTGTCAATACGTATCTTAATTCAAGGCAACGCCTTGATGAACTTCGGTATCCAGATGGCTTGTATCTCTTTTTAACATATGTGCCAATACACACTTCTAAGGGCGTGTACAGGGTTATCCAAATTACGTGTCCACCATTAGTAACTTTGTTATTAGTGAAAATACAAAGTTGTTTGAATTAGCAAACTAGTAGCATTTTTAACGCTGGTAAAAATGAGAAATAAAAAAAACAATTGAGAGTCGTTATTTTGATTTTTTTCAGTAAAATAACATTTTTTTAAATGGAAACCCCTGTATATTATATTTTTTTCTGTTAAAGCATCAAATTTTAAACAAAAAAGTTCATAATGACTTTTCCGCTAAAGTCAAAAATAAAGTCAAAATAACGATAAATATTTTTAATTATTTGCAGTATTATAATATTAAGACGGCTATGAAAACAACATGGCGTTCGCGATTTGACAGCATTAAGATAAGCGACAAATTGTTAAACTGGACATACTCGCAACTAGAAGGCTTTGGAAAACAATGATAAAATCAAATAATGTCAAACATTAGTGTAAATACTTGTTTATAAGCTTTATTGTGTCATTAATTTAAAGAAAAATGTTCTCCCATGAAGAAAAGTGTGATATGTTAGAATGCTATTTAGTGTGCAGAAAATCCTCCTTGAGAGCAAGAGAATACTACAGTGAATTATATCCCGCTCGCATTCAACCGTATGAACGATATTTTCTGAGACTTTATCGAAAATTTAGGGGCAACGAAAATGTTTTTGCTAAAACAAGGGCAAAAAAAGAATTCATAATAAGCGAGGCCACGGAAATTGCAGTTATGGGATATTTTGAAGCTTATCGTGAGAATTCAATAGCAGATATTCTCAAGGACTCTAATTTCAGTTATGGTACTGTTCAAAGGATTTTAAAAAAATACAAATTTATTCCGTATAAGTACCGACCAGTTCAAACGCTTTTGGCAGGGGATCCAGAGAGAAGACTTGTTTTTTGCCATTGGTATCTTAGCTTCTGTCGCCAAAATGTAAATAACTTTCGTTACCTTTTATGGACAGATGAATCAAATTTTTCAAATTCTGGAATGTTTAATAGAAAAAACCACCATTATTCGTCAAGAGAAAATCTTTTGTTAGTACATCCAAAAGGCCCACAAGTCCGTTTCAGTTTCAACGTTTGGTGCGGTATA